CGGCATCATCATCCTGTGGCAAAGGTGCAACCACATTGCCAGCACCTACCGGCTCAACCGCTACAACAACTACCGGCTCACCCGCAACAGCACCTACCGGCTCAACCGGAACATCACCCAAAACCGCATCCCCCTACTGTCGATATATCTCTCTTTAAAAAAAAAAAATAAAATAAAGGCATTATAAAACTAAGGAACCAAAATAAAGAATTCAATCCAAAAACCGGTAACTCGCACACGACAACAAACTAATATGCACAAACCAACACCCGTAGCCACGGTACCCCCCCTCCCCCCCAAGCACCGACCCAACAACTGTAGCGCACCAACCTAAATGTAAAAAAAAAAAAAAAAAAAAAAACCGGTAGTGCCAATTAGCAACTAAACTAAACCCTAAATTGCACACGGTAACATACTACTACGCACAAACCACCACACCTAACTAAGTGACCCCCGAAAAACCCCTAAAAAAACAATAAACATGCACCAACACAATACCAATGGCGCACCAACCTAAAAGCAAAAACAACAACAAAACAAGTAGTGGCAATTTCCAACAAACACTTTACCCCTAACTTGCACAGGGTAACAAACTAATACGCACAAACCACTACCCGTAGCCGCGGTATCCCCCGAACTCCCAACAAATAATAAGTAAATTAATAAACACGCACCGACCCAATACAAGTAGCTTACCAACCTAAATGTAAAAAAAAAAAAAAAAAAAAAAAAAAAAAAAAAAAAAAAAAAAACTAGTCCAAATTAGCAACTAAATTTCACCCTAACTTGCACAAGGTAACATACTACTACGCATAAACCACCATACCTAACTACGCAACCCCAAAAAAAATCCAAAAAAAAAAAAACAAAAAAACAAAAAACACGCACCGACCCAATACCAGTGGCGCACCAACCTAAATGCTTAACCGACAACAAAACCAGCAGTAGCAAATACCAACAACACTTTACCTAACCATATGGATGAAACACAAAACCACCCTGAACATTAATCACATGCACATTCACAACACACATGCATACCTAACCATATGGATGAAAACAAAACAATGTTCCTTAATTTCACATTAAAAACACTTACAACTCTAGAAAAAAATGGCATCCAAAAACTAAGCAATGAAAATAAAAAAAAATGAAATAAAAAACATAATTAAACACGATACCCTAAGAAAATACTAACAAAAAAATTATAATAAACACGCTGATTGCCTTATATGCACCTAGATGAGTTTTTTTTTTTTTTTTTTTTTTTTTTTTTTTTTTTTTTTTTTTTTTTTTTTTTACACTTAACAACTCTAAAATTGGACAGAATATACATTACAGAAGCAGATTCATCAAATTAATGCTACCAAAACCAGCATCGCGTAAGTTTTGTATCGCACTTCAGGAATCAACCCAAGGATTAGCAGCACCAAAGGTGAGCTTGTCTGCTATCCTTCAATCTCTTTCATGTCCAAAATACATTGTACAACTTGCTGAAATTAAAATTAGTGAACATCCCACTAACCTACTAAAGGATGCGATTCTTGAAGTACCCATTCTCAACAACTGAGATAGGGCTGCCTCAAGATATAGGACATTGGCAACTCTGCTTGTTTTCTCAAGCTGAAGCCCTCTTGCTAGAGTCATCTCTGCGAAGAAAGCCATCACCCCAAGGACAATCATAAGAATCAGAGAATAAAAACTGGAAGTACAAAGTTCTGGAAAGCAAAGGTACATATTCCAGCAGCAGGACTTGCAAATAGACCAAAATGCAAAAATGTGAGCACTGGTTGATCAGTTGTCTTGGCTCTTGCCTTTGTAACACAGTAGCTAACTCCACCAAAAATAGATGAACATAGACTAACTAAAACTGCATAAATATGATGGCTTCCACGGGCATATTCATTATTACCTACAACATTTGGCACAGCTCCTTGTGTTTTGGGTGTTCAGTGGGTAGGTATATTGGTTTATGCGTAGTAGGTTGTCACTGGCTGCATGTTAGTGTTGATTTGTTATTGTTAATTGGCATTACTGGTCTTAAATGACTAATTATATATGCATGTTTGTATTAAGAGTGGGAAAGAGTTGAGACTTCTGGTTCGGTTAATGTGGGACTGGCTTGAGCCAGTCATGTTATTTACATTGCATAGGTGAAGTTAAATTAAAGTTATATGGCGTTTATGATAGCAGGTTTTGGGGGCTTAGAATGTTTGGTTGCTTGGTCGGTGCGTAGTGGTGCCTCACTGTGTGCATGTTGCGTTAATCTGGAATTGGCATTATAGGTTTACTATTTTAAAATTGCATGGTTGGTGCGTTCTTGTTTTAGTGTGTGCACAATATGATGTTATGTTAGCAAGTTCTGGGGCTTAGAATGTTTGGTTGCCTGGTCTGTGCGTAGTGGTGCCTCACTGTGTGCGTGTAACGTTAATATGGACTTGGCATTGCAGGTTTATTTTTTATTTTCTTATGTTGGTTGTTTAGTTTTAGAATGTGTTTTTTTAATTATTGTCTATGATTGTTACAGACAATCTATTCAATTTTGTGTGTGCTTCTTTATTTTTTTCCCCTTTAGGGTGACATTTCGGAAGTAGGTGTCATCGTTTTGGGGTTTGTGTATTTTGCTTTGGTAATTGCTCATGGGGTTGATATTTTCTGGTGTTTGGGTTTGGGGTTTGGGCTTGTGCATCGTGGGTGTTTTTTCCTGTGTTTGGGTTTGGGGTTTACGTTTTTTCACGTCAACATTGCGTGTTACAGATGTCTACCATATTTCACTTACAGTGTGTGGTTGTTTTTTTTTTTTTGTTTTTTTTTTGTTTTTTTTTTGTTTTTTTTTTGTCCTCTTCGTTTTTTTAAAAGTTCGTGCAAACATGGCTACTTGGGGGGAAAAATTCCAAATCAGGAGAATAACGCCCACACTGTAACAGCGTTATGCACTGACTTTGATCCTCTTATGCTCACACCGATACATGCATGCATAATCCTCCGCGATATGCACAGACTGATGTCCTACTGCGCACATAGTAGGTGCACAGAGATGCATACGTACCATATTATTATTTAATAATGGCTCTTCTTTTCACTGTAATGCATTTACCTATATACAATTATGCACACAACATAATTCTAAAGCAACACAAATGCCACGGTCGTGCAAACATTTTAAAAATTAAAACCCACATATAACAGATCCATGCACTAACTTCTATTCACTAATGCACACGCGCGACACATGTCTTTTTTAAGCCACATCGGTATGCACCGACTGGTGCCCTGCTACGCACATAGCAGTGCGTGAGGCTTCATATGCATCATTTTAATATTTAATAACATCTCTTCTTTACCGTGTAATGCATTCACCTGCATACAACTTCGCAGCTAGCATAATTACAATGTTTTAAGTTTTTAACAACCAAATTTTGTTTTCTAAAAAAACACCCACAAAATTTTCAACGTAGCCACACGTTATGCACGTACTCATATTCTTATACGCACCCTCCATCAAAACTCACATAATATGTAGTGATCAACAAAATCATGCCTTTTCACACTTCATAAATTTCGAATCTCACGCATACACATCCCAATATATTTAGGCCGTCCAACAAAACAAACTACCAAAAAAACAACCCCAATATCCTAAGTTACATGTAATTGCTATGCACATGCTTCTATTCACCTACGCACCCTCCACCGTAACGATCATCATACTAAGTTGTAATCACCATTCATGTCGTTCCACACTGTCAACAATCGCTATCTTACACACACACTTCTCATTTCAATTATGCAGGCCAACCAAACTCCCGAATATTTTTTAAAAAATTAACGTATAAACAATAATTTCACCATTCGTGGACGATTTGCACATACTCATGGTCGCCAATGCATCCTCCCCCCAGCCTATAGTTTTCACAATCAGACCTATATGCACCCACCTGAACACGCACACGCTATGCACATCACATAACTTCTAGTTCGTCATACACGCTATGCACACACGAGAACACTAAAATGCACACGCTATGCACAATCAGACCTATATGCACCCGTTCGTTTTCACCCTGTAAGTGTACATAGTTTTGTACACATTAAACCTATGATTGGCTAATTTATTTTTATATAAGTAATAGTCTTAGGTTTAAACAAAAAACTCTTGGACCATGGTTATTTGTCATAAGAGACTTTTTTAGTGGTTCACAATCAATGAAGAGGAAGTCAGCTATGAATGGTTCAAGCATGGGAATCTAAATTAAATGAGTGGCTGAAAATGAATCAAGCAAAGAATGAAGCTATTCACGTGGATGTTTGATCAAGGGATTAACACTATAAAAGGAAAGGTTACTCATTGTGGAAAGTTGCCAATTTGAGATTTAATATTATTTTGAGAAGTGAATATTATACTGCTAACAAAGTGAATTAAATATATTATTCTGCTGAGCTACGGTCTGCGCCTGAGTCAGTCGAAGTCTGCTGAGCTACGGTCTGCGCCTGATTCAGTTGAAGTATTGTTCGAAGGTTATCAAGGCATGCACGTCACGGTCCAGGTTGGATGTTAGGAAGGTTGTTTGTAGTATGGTAGTTAAGACTGTGAGAGTCTAATGTACTGTTCTATTGTAAAACTCCTTGGTGAACATCAATAGTGGATTGGGCTGACGTGGGTTGCCCCGCAGACGTAGGAGAAGCGCTCCGAACTGCGTAACAAATCTATGTGTACTTGATTTAATTACTGCTTTTATTTTTTGTTATTTACTATCATTAAATAACAAAAATTAATCGATCAAAATCTAATATAAGTTTTAAAATCAAGTAGATGTTCAGGTTCAGCTAATTTAAGGTTCACGGCATAATTTCAATTGGTATCAGAGCCTGGAGGCTTAAGTTACTAGTCTTTCGATCTGGCTTTTACGTGTGCCTTATTTTTTAGTGTTCTGCGGTTTTTAATACTGTTCTTCTTGTTATTACTTTGTTCAATCTCACTTGTTGCTAAGTGTTTCAGAATGGAAAGGTTCAGGCCACTTCCCCAGCTTACAGGTGACAACTACGCATACTGGAAGGCTCGAACAAGAACTCATCTTAAAGCTCAAGGAGATCAGATTTGGCGGGCAATACTGACTGGTTGGACACCACCTACAAAACCTGGAGAAAAAGACGGTGATCCACCAGTGATAAAACCTGAAACCGAGAGAACTCAAGCTGAAATTATCACTGCTGGATATAACGATAAGGCTCTTGACACAATCTATTCCTTAATGCATGAAAATCAATTTTCGTTGGTTACAGGTATTGATTGTGCAAAAACTGCGTGGGAAATACTCGAAACCACCTATGAAGGTACGAGTTCAGTCAAACAATCAAAGCTTCAGCTGGTAAAGACTGAATTTGAAGAACTACGTATGAACGATGACGAAGATATTGCGAGTTTTCACGAACGCATACAAGAGTTAGCTAATCGAGCAACAATTCTTGGAAAACCTTTCTCCCAACAAAAACTTGTCAAAAAAATCCTAAGATCTTTACCTCCGAGATTCAGGATGAAGGTAACCGCTATTCAAGAACATGATGGCTGGGAGAACAAATCAGTGGCTCAACTAATGGGCAATCTTCGAACCTACGAAATGGAAATTCTTACTGATCACACCAAAAAACAAAAGACAGTTGCATTTGTCGTTGAAGAACATGATGATACCCCTAACCCAGACGAATCAGGTGATGATCCAGTTACATTTTTAACTAAACAATTTTCTAATTTTTTGAAACAGATATCTCAGAAGAATTCACAAAACAAAAAATTTCAAAAAGGAGCAAGCTCAAACATGTCGAAAACTGATACAAAAACTAGCATGTCAAAGTCAAAACCTACTGCCTCACGTCCAGCCCGCTCCAGGGAAAAATCAAACAACAAAGGAATAAAATGTTACGAGTGTGAGGGCTTTGGTCATGTTCAAGCTGAATGTCCAACTTATCTTAGGCGAAAGAAGTCCATGACAGCCACAACTTGGAGTGATGATGAACCTGAATCAGAAAATGCTGAATCTGACGCAGAAGAAATGTTTGGCAATCTTGTAGCCTTTGCAGCCAAGAGTACGATATGCTCTGAACCTGTAGATGCATCTGATACAGAAGGTGGTGATTACAACTCGGCAGAAGATCTTGACATACCAGATATATCTTATGAAGTAGAGTTTAATAAACTGTATCCAAAATGGGAAGCATTACTTAAAACATATCGTGTAGTGTCTAGTGAAGTTAGAGTTTTGAAAAATGCTGTAAATGTGTTCAAAGGTCAAGTTGCAGACAGGGATGCCTTAATTAAAGACTACACTGACCGAGAAGAAAAACTGCAACAGGAAATCAAGAGACTGACGCTGGAACTAAACACATATATAAAGAGAATCCAAATGATGGATACCACATCAACTCTTGAAGAAATCCTTGATTCAGGGCGGCAATCCTCTGCAAGATTTGGTATTGGATTCACTGGAGAAACCAGCAAAGACAAAACTACATTTGTCAAGGCATCACATTCAGAAATTGCTCCTGAGTCAAGCAAAGCTAAAGACTATCGTGAATCAGTTCCTATTTCAGGCTCAGCAAAACAACCACGAGGTACAATACGTCAAAAGTTTCAATATAAGGTTTATAACCCTGTGTGTCACTATTGCAGGTTACGTGGACACATCAGACCTGAGTGTTATTACTTCTACAAAGAACAAAGGGCCGAAAAACATAGCCATAAGTACATTACTCCATTTATCAAACAAGTATGGGTAAAGAAATCCGATTATATCAGTTTTGTATCCTTTCACACTAAAAATGCAGGTAGGGATGAAAAATGGTACTTCGACAGCGGTTGCTCACGTCACATGACTGGAAACGCAAAATCTCTAAGTGACATAAACACAAGCAACGGTGAAGTAACTTTTGGTGATGGAGTCAAAGGACAAGTAACCGGAGTAGGTACTCTAAATGTTGCAGGTCTACCGAAGTTGAAAAAGGTGCTACTGGTAAACGGACTCCATGCCAACCTCATAAGCATTAGCCAACTTTGCGACCAAAACTGGAATGTTAGCTTCACCAAAGACAACTGCAGTGTTATGGATAATGAAAAACAATGTGTTATGGAAGGTAAGCGATCAACAGACAGCTGCTATATTCTAACAAATGATATCCTCTGTTGCAGGTCCAGCATAAATGAGTCTCAGTTGTGGCATAAAAAATTAAGGCGTCAGCAATCCAGCTAATTAAATTTCTTTTTGCCCATGTTAATAAAATTTCAGGTACACTAATTCACAAATAAGTATTACTTAGTGTTACTAATATTTTTTTCTCGTGTGCAGATTAAGTTTTAAGGCTAAGCAGTCACAAAAGCTATCTTGAATTCACGTTTTAAAAGCCAAGTGTTCAGGTTTTATTTGTTTCTTATCTATCCACCTTCTCTTTATCTTGAATTCCCTAAAAATGATGTTTGTTTTGATATTATTGCGCGTATATCTTTTTGAACATGAATTATCCTTTCTAATATATATATATACATGTATCTCTGGATTCATTAAATCATCAGGTACTTTTAATCTTTCAGGTTCTTTCTCTTTACTTGTTCATTTTTTTTAAGTGTTCGTTTAATTTGCTTGGGTTATTCTTTATGTTTTGTTATTGGTTGTTTCTGTGTGTTCACTAAATGTCCTATCTACATTGTGTTGGATGCTTTTGATATGATAATTCTTTGATTGTGCTTTTTTTTGTTGGTGTTTCCTGTGTTAAAATATGTTTGCTTGAATGATAAATTTGGTGCAATTTGATTAATGTGTTTATTTCTCTGTGTTATTTGTTTGGTCCGGTCATGACCGTGTGTGTTTTTGTTTGGTTGTGTGTTTTTCATGCTATCTGTTGTGATTCTGTGCCTGAATCATCTTCTTGTCTTGTTTGACCAAAATTGAAAATTTCTTGAATTGTTGTGATTCTTTGTTATTTGCTAAGTCGTTTTCAAGATTGCATGTACCCTGTTCTGTGTTTCTCTTTTCTATTTTCACTTGTGCAGGTTCATGTGGTAAAAGATTTCGTAAAAAGCAAAAAGGAACTATTATGGAGCTGTTCTCTCTCTTTTCATCGTCAAGCAAAAGTTATATGGTATTAGTTATTGGATTCTCTTTATATGGTTTCTCTTATTGGCTTTAATGGATATTATTGGATATCGGATTATCTTTTTGGTTGAAAATCCTCGGATTATCCAAGTTACCATATTATTTGGGTTATCATATCCTTTGGATTATCATGTTATTCAGACTCTCGTGTTATTGGTGGTGTGATAGCTTTTTATAAAGAATATCTGAATGAGTTTTCTACTATTGCGAACATGGAATGAATATGACAACACTACCTTCTTGGTGTATGGTAATTACTATTGATCAATATGGATGAATGTTGGATAAGTTTCTTGCTATTTTACGGGAAAGAAGGTTGGGCACCCCGTCAACTCACTAGTCTAATCCACTGATTTGATGTTCACCGATCCTTTTTGTCACTTATTTGGCAAAAAAGGGGGAGTAATAGAAAGGAGTTTTTGAAGAAAGGGGGAGTTTTATTTGGTTAACTTTTTTGGAATATGAAATAAGGGAAGATACAAGAAAGGGGGAGTAGTAAGAAAGCATGATGACTGCGACATATGAAATAAGGGAAGATACAAGAAAGGGGGAGTAGTAAGAAAGCATGATGACTGCGACATATGGAATTTTTTTAGTATGGCTTGTCTACTACTCTATTATGCTACCATTCTTTTGGTAAATCTCTGACTTATATATCTATTCAGTTTATGGCTATTATTATCAGTTATTGGTTATTATTATCTAAACAAAAAATCTATTGTTATTGGATGATCAGCTTTTATTTAGCTAATCTTTCTATTGGTGATCAACTATTCTATCTGAATATTGAAGTTTTTCGGGGTTCATATACAGCACACATATTCTCTGAAAATTAATACTATGAGTTCATGGAACATGGTCTACAAGAGTTTTTTGGTAATAATTTTTTCTTACCTTAGGTTATTGTATGGCACATATACTAAGGGCTCTTTAATAAAATTATTGTATCTTTCTTGTTTGCCCAAAGTATGAGATGCTATAGTTTTTGCCAAATAAATTGCCAAAGGGGGAGATTGTAAGTGTACATAGTTTTGTACACATTAAACCTATGATTGGCTAATTTATTTTTATATAAGTAATAGTCTTAGGTTTAAACAAAAAACTCTTGGACCATGGTTATTTGTCATAAGAGACTTTTTTAGTGGTTCACAATCAATGAAGAGGAAGTCAGCTATGAATGGTTCAAGCATGGGAATCTAAATTAAATGAGTGGCTGAAAATGAATCAAGCAAAGAATGAAGCTATTCACGTGGATGTTTGATCAAGGGATTAACACTATAAAAGGAAAGGTTACTCATTGTGGAAAGTTGCCAATTTGAGATTTAATATTATTTTGAGAAGTGAATATTATACTGCTAACAAAGTGAATTAAATATATTATTCTGCTGAGCTACGGTCTGCGCCTGAGTCAGTCGAAGTCTGCTGAGCTACGGTCTGCGCCTGATTCAGTTGAAGTATTGTTCGAAGGTTATCAAGGCATGCACGTCACGGTCCAGGTTGGATGTTAGGAAGGTTGTTTGTAGTATGGTAGTTAAGACTGTGAGAGTCTAATGTACTGTTCTATTGTAAAACTCCTTGGTGAACATCAATAGTGGATTGGGCTGACGTGGGTTGCCCCGCAGACGTAGGAGAAGCGCTCCGAACTGCGTAACAAATCTATGTGTACTTGATTTAATTACTGCTTTTATTTTTTGTTATTTACTATCATTAAATAACAAAAATTAATCGATCAAAATCTAATATAAGTTTTAAAATCAAGTAGATGTTCAGGTTCAGCTAATTTAAGGTTCACGGCATAATTTCACACCCCAACCCTTGTTCACGCCATATTCAGTTCATCAGAGTTTGTAAATAATTTAAAGTATTAATTTCCATTTATAATTCCCAAAAATAATGCTTAACATTCAAATTCTATTATATCCATAAATAAACATACAAGTACAATTACTATTCAATCATTTTGATTGGAAAATATCATTAATTACTGCCACAATATCTTATAATCTCAACCATTCATGGAAAATGAATCAATGGATATCAAGAGGCCTCATGGTCTCATCTAATCTAGGGGTTGCACCGGATTCGAAACCTATATATTTTGGATCCAGTGAGGTCACTATTATTTGGTGAGGTCGTGAGGATTAATCTGGTTCATTGATTAATATTATTGTACGGTTCAGATGTGCACATTGAAATATCCCACGCGCTATGTCTGCAGTTGTGTAAGGGGGTATATTTGTCCTTTGTTATTATTGTTTTTATGGTATAAAGATTTGATTAGCAGATTTTATGGGTTTGTGCGCGATATTTATGGTCCTAAATCACTTTCAATATATTTATAGTCTCTTTAGCTTCCGCCCCTTTTCTCTCTTTCTTCCTTCCCCGATATTAACATTCGCACCGCTCTTCTGCTTCTCTGCCGTCCTTTCTTCTCCGACCATTGATGCTCGCCGAGCTCGTGTGCTTCTCGGTCGTCCACCCTTCTCTGACCATTGACACTCATTTATCCGTCGCCGGTGCCGGTCTGTCTCTATTAACAATGGCGGGTTCAACGATCACTCGTTCCAAGCGTCAGAGATCATCTTCTTTCGCGTCCCATTCAGGTATTTTTGACTCACCGATATTTCTAGTTTCCTTTATTCGGTTATTTGTCTGATTTGTACCTTTTTTTTTTTTTTGCGTTTTCCGGCAGGTAGGGCCGTCCCTAGCGTTTTTAAGGCGTGTCCAGTTGGGGGTTTTGAATGCCTGGTATTAGGGTTTTGTGTTGCTTGCCATTTTTGTCCGATGTACTTAGTCTGTGTCAATGTCGGTGGGTTCTTGGGTTTTGTATGTCTGTTTCCGGGGGCTGGGGTTCGGTGCATGGCGGTGTTCGGGGTGTGGGCACTGTCTGGTGGCGATGGATGGTGGTGTTTGTATGGTTCGGGCTGCTGCGGGTGTGTGTATGTGGTTTTTTTTCCTATATTTGTTGGGTTTATGGTTTGTTGGGTTTTTCCGTTTTTGTTTTGCGGTTTGCTTCGGCTGGGTTACTGTCGGCGGGGGTTTGCCGGTTGTACGTATGTTTACTGGGGCGGGGATTCGTTGCATGGTGGTGGGTTCGCAGGTTTGGTGGGGGGTGGGAAAGAAGTTGCGGTTTGGTTCCATTATGGTTTTAAAAATGTGGGAAAGAAGAGAAATCCTCGGTAGAAACGATGGTGAAACTAATCACACGTTTGCTTGTTTCTGACAAACACTATTACTATTAGTAGTTAATAGTTATTAATACTTATTTCATTCCCAGTAAACAAATTTACAGGAATAATTTTTTTGGGCAGTGTTTTAATCTGCGGTTTTCGATTTTGGTGCAATGTGTTGTATGGGAAATGGGATTCAGATGTGCATATACTTTGGCCGGGTTGAGTGTATATATATTTTACTCCAGGTAGGGGGTTTTTTGTTTTGTTTTTTGTTTTTTATTTTTTTTGTTGTTTATATATTTTGGTGTCTTAGGAACATTGGTTGTGTTTTCTTGGTCCTATGAAAATTGAAGAACATAGGATGTTGTTCGTAATGCCCATGTACGTAGTAGTATGTGACTGCCTTGTTACATTTAATGAAGTTGATTATGGCCCTGTTTGGTAAAAAATTGGCCTATAGGCCAATTGTGACTTATTTGACCACTATTAATTCTTTGATTTAGTTAAAATATCAATATAAATGTTTGGTTAATTAGCTTTTTGCAACTCCAAAAGGCTAAAATTAAAAAAGCTACTCCTAGCAACTTTTTCAATTAGCTTTTTGAGAAAAGAAATTATACCAAACAACTATCAGCAAACAACTAATTACCAAACACTTTTCTACAATCAGCTAATGTTATTAACTATTTATACCCTCTAATTAATATAATCAGCTAACAGCAAACAACTATCAGCTAACAACCATTTTACCAAACAGGGCCTATATGACTCTATAAATGTATATTTTGATGGTATATTATTGCATTCTTAATTAACCAGAAACTGATCTTCATGGAATTGTTCGTTATGGGGAGTCCTGGAGGTCTTATCTCATAAAACTTAAAAGAGTTGAAACATTACGTGCGGGTTGTTGCCAATGATTTCTCACTGTCAGGTACAACGATTTATACAAGATTACACCATATGAATCAATCAAGAGATCACAAGAAAGACGTGAGACATTACTCAACAACGAAGGATACAATCCAACACCAAATGATTGACAACACAAATTGCCAACCCCAATAGGAAGGAACAAACCACACACACTAGCACAACAACATCAAACTAGCATGCTCAACAACGGGTAAAGCAAAATTAGTTCCAAAGAACATCCAAGACTCATGTTAGCCCAACAAATCATGAAGTTGAACCCTTAGCACGATTTCAAGACACTAAATCCTACATGGATTCCTAACACACCGTTCTAGACATACGAAACATCAAGAAGACTCACAAATAGCCCAATAAATCAACAACGGGAGGTCAAAACATCAATACCGAGAAGAAAGAATCACGGGGAACAAATCCCCGCACATTGTCAACAACGTTCTCCGCGGGTGGGGCAACGGGTGGGCCTCCACCCGTGGTTCCGCCCGCGGGTACATACCCGAGGCAGCCACGTTCCCCGCGGGTGGGCGGCGGGTAGGCCTCCACCCGTCGTTCCGCCCGCAGGGTACAACCTGTATTCCAAAATTTGCCTTCGGGGAAAATCAACAACAAGGCCAAGTTCATGTCCAAAACACCCAAAATCTCACACACAACAAAGATATGACTTGAACCCAAAAAATAGCCAAGCAATGGCATTCAAGAAACCTAAAAACAAGCTCTAAACATGCATCATCACAAGATCATGCATTAAATCTCACAAATCATCACAAGAACAACAAGTAGAAGCCAAGAATCATCATTTAAGAAAATAGGTTTTGTATAGCATGGGTTATCTTTGTAGCCTAACAACTTCTTCTTTTCACCCTTTTAAGTCTTTTCCTAGAGCTCTTCTTCCACACCAACTTCTTACACAAACCAAACATAAGAAAGA